AACGTAAAAATGCCCGTATATCGTTGAACTTTTACGATCTTTGTAGTAGTACATATATATTCTAATTTTAAAACTGTCACGTGACAAACAGCTGTTGTAAGCTATGTCGTTTTGGCCGAACTCAGCAGAGACCCGATATATACAAGTGCAAACACCACATATCACATTTATCAAAACTAATGCTGTTAAAAAAAATATTAAAATTGTATTCATTTTCCCTGAATATTTTAAGGCGTATATTTCATGGGCGTCCTTAACCTAGCTGCGAAGGGCCATATAGGACCAGAATGCTAAGTCTTTTAAGTTTAATATCTCAAAAAGGGGGAACATTCTAATAAGCAATATTGAACAAAAGATGTTCAAGATAATGTTATATAAATCAGCAGAACGAAATCTAAGGAGGGAAATCTTTATATCATTATCTTGGAACGAATATTTTAGTCAAAATCACATTTCACCTTTTTTGAAAATCGGACGGAAGACCTACTCATTGATCGCAACGAGATCTCATCTTGTTATTTGGGTCGTCCGTCTCCATCGGAAGACTGTTCTAATTTTGCATTGTTTCTTTTTTCACTCTTTTGACTCTTATTAGGGACTTCTGTCTTCAGCAGAAGACCCTTCAGTTATTCGTATGTTTCTTTTTTTTTTTTTTGATTTTATTCTTCTTTTCTTTCTTTACAAATGTTCTCGGAAATATGTCGATCGATTTACTTAAAATTTTCAGATTTTATGTCTTACAATCTGAAGTTTGCGACACAACGCTGTCGTGCACCTGTTTTTTTTTTTTTTTTTTTTTTTTTTTTTTTTTTTTTTATTTTCGGAAGTTCCTAGTGTGGAAGTTCGGTAGATTTCGAAATTTAGGTATAAATGAGGAGTGAATTTTCGAGCCATTTTTTAACGTATCTTCAAAACTATGAATATTTTCTTTAATCATAATGCACAGAAATTGCGTAGAATTAAAAGATCGTTTATATAAAATCAAAGAATAAAGGACCAACTTATCACGGAAGGGGTCAAGGGGGGCCAAACGTCTTTATCCATAACTCTTTAACGATAACAATTTTGTAATACATTACTGAAGGAAAAAATGTCTATCTTAACTAATCACATCTATATATTATGATACCTATATGTCATGTGTTACAAAATTAGGTACCAGAAGGGACCAAAATGCCAAATCTGACACTCTATATCTCGAAAAAGGAAAATATTTTAATAAGCAAAGTTGAATAAAAGATGTTCAAAATAATGTTTTAAACAATATGCAAAGTTGTAAATTTAGCTTAACATTCCCATTTAGGAGTTGAAGGGCCAACCCCTGAATTTTTATTTTGCATATATCGCAGAAGAATTTCTGAATAGTTGTTGAACAAAAATGTTAAAAAATCATAAGAGCTTTAATGTGATATCAAGAAAAAGGGACCGGACCCTCAAAATAAGGGCGAGTGGGGCAGAAAGTCTTCAATCAATTACTTTTTATTGATCATTTTTTTGTAGTATATTACTGATGCAAATAGTTCATCTTCATACGCCTTATTTAACTATTATATACCATGATGTTGACATCATATGCTATGTTATTAGTAGTTATAAGGGGTTAAAGGGGGCTAAATTGCCGAATCTTTGGCGCAAAAAATTTCGATAAGGAGGAAAATTTTGGTAAGCATATTGAACAAAAGACGTTCAAAACAATGTTGCTTACAATTTGCAAAGTTTCAGTTATTGCTAAACGTCCCCATTTTGGACTCGTAGGGTCGGTCCCTTTTTTGCATATATCTAGGAAACGAAATGGATTTCTGAAAAGTTTTTAAACAAAAAGTGTTTAAAATTATGGGAACCGTAGAAAATATCAAGAAAATGGGGCTGGCCCCTTAAAAGAAGGGCTGAGATGGGCGGAAAGTCCACAATCTATAACTTTTAAATGTCTTGATCAGAATATTGTTACAAATTACTGAAGCAAAAGTTTTCGTCTAAACAATTTTTTTATATCATTATATTTGAAAGAAAATCTAAGTCAAATTCCTATCTCATCCTATCAAAAAATCGGACGGTTCAAGACCCACTCGATGCTCGGAACGAGATTGCATCAACTTAAGGTCTACCGTCTCAACGGAAGATCTTCTTATTATTCTGTCGTTTCTTTTCAACTTTTCTTATTATTATTCTTACCGATTTTGTGCAGGCGATTTCTCCTAAATGCGCCGATGAATTTTTTATGAAAACGTTTAGCAATGATGGCAAATCATATGAAATTAAAACTTTTTTTTTAATTTCCCTGATGGCACTGCCGTTTTGTTTAATTGGAATTTAGTTTCTGTCTCTCTTCAGAAACGGTTAAAGATACAATAATAAAACTTTCATGGATAATAAATCTTGATTTGTAGATGTAAATCTGATTTTTTTTTTGTGGGCACTTCCGTTGTCCACCGGAAGTAGTTTAAATATGCAATTTTTAATCTTTTTTAAATGTTTATAGCACAGCAATAAAGAGTGTTTCAAGTCATTTCATTTCAACCGGAAGTTGGTTCTTCTAAATCGGAAGTTATCCAAAAAATGTTTATTTTTCATCCAGACTTTCGGGAAATATTCCTAGACTCAATCTGGAGTCTTTAGTCATTTTGAAAACTTAAGTTCATATCGGAAGTGTATAAAAAGAACCGGGAATTGCTTGAAATTAAAATATAGAACTCTTTTATGTGTTTCTGAACAAATTTTGAATAATTAAAGTGTCCATTTCGTTCATGTACACATTTTCTTCATTCTTTTTCCATTTTTATCGATTTTCAGATGACCACTTTGTCTCTTCAGATCTCAATAACGGCGAAAGACAGAGCGCTGAAATTTGTTTGCGATTATAAAGGACATGATGCCATTGTGCTCCTGGGTTTTCAAATCTTCTAAAAGTTCCTAGTATGGACTCTCGGTAGGGGGTAAAATTTAGGGTAGGAATCAGTATTGAATTTTCGAGACATTTTTTTTTTAAGCAAATCTTCAAAACCATGAATATTTCATTAAAATATATTGCACAAAAATTGTGAAGAATGACTTTTATATGATTTCACGAAAAAAGGACAGAATCGTTTTGAAGGGGCCGAGAGGGGCCGAAAATCTTTAATCAATAACTCTTTTACGATCAATATTACGTTATTCATTACTGAAGCAAAAACTTTTATCTTAACAATCCTCAGCTATATATTATGATATTTATGTCATGCGTTACATAATAAGGTGCCAAAAGGGGCCAGAATGCAAAATCTTTGACGCTTTGTATCTCGAAAATGGGAAATATTTTGATAAGCAATTATGAAAAAAATGATGTTCAAAATAATGTTCTGAACTATATGCAACCTTTCAATTTTCGTTAAACCTCCCCTTTAAGGAGTTGAAGGGCCAGCCCCTAAATATTTCGTTTGCAAATATATTGGAAAGGAAAAAGGGTCTCTGCATAGTTGTTAAGCAAAAAATTTCAAAATCATGAGAGCTTTAAGATAATATCAAGAATAAGGAGCTGATCCCTCAAATTACGGGCCAAGTAGAGCCGTAAATCTTTAGTCTATAGCTCAATTTAATCTATATTAATTATCAATATTTTGCTACATATTTTGGAAGCAAAATTTTTCGGCTTAACAATTTATTTATGTCATTTTATGTGAACAAAAGCCTAAGTCATTTTCTCTCGAGATCTCATCTAGTTATTATTCTTTTTTCCTACCGATTTTGTGCAGAAGATTTTTCTGAAAGATCAATTTGCTTCAAATTTTCAGAGTTTATTTGTTTTCATCTAAAGTTTTTTACCGTTATATCAATATTTAAAAGTTCATTTCCTTCGGAAGTTCATGTAAATTCCTTTAATCGACTTTTAGAGGGTCTCTTTGTCGGAACTCAAAAACCGCTTTAGCTAAAAAGCTGTTTTTTTTTTTTAGAGATGATAGTCGACACATTGTTGTTGAGCACCTGCATTTTCAAAATTTTTGAAGTGCCTATTATGGAAGTAGGGTCGAAATTTAGCATATAAGTTTTCGAAATATTTTTTTTTATCATATCTTCAAAACGTTGAATATTTTCTTAAATCATATTGAATACAAATTGTATAGAATTATATCTTTAATGTGATATCAAAAAAAGGTTTGATCACATTAGGAGGCCAAGAGGGGCCAAAAGTCTTTGAAGCATTACTCATTAACGGTCAATATTTATTTATACATTACGGATTAAAAATGTTTATTTTAACAATCAACAGCAGTATATTATTATATTTACGTCATATGTTACATAATTAGGAGCCATCAGGGGGCCAAAATGCTAAATCTTTGGCACTCTATATCTTGAAAGTAGAAAATAATTTGATAAGATATTCCAAACAATAAGATTGTTTAAATAATGTTCTTAACAATACGCAAACTTTCAATTTTTGCTAAACGTCCCATTGAGGAGTTGAAAGCCCGGCCCCTATTTTTTTTTTTTTTTTTTTTTTTTGCAAATATCTTGGAAACAATAAAGAACAATAAAAGTGTTCAATCATTCTACTTTTTCTGGATGGAGAAGTCTTGTATACTCTTGGTCACCTTGTTTGATTGTATGTCTTTTTAATCACTGCACGAGCGATTTTTTTTGTTCGTGTCAGTGCACAGAGAGATCATTACGACGGTCGAGTATCAATTTTATACTAGTTAACAACCCTCGGTATTCTTATATTTTCAATAAATATTTCATAAGATTCAAGGTTATTGAAAAGAAATGTTTTGGATTTTAGAGTCTTGTATTCATGATTAAGTTGAATCCTTTTGTCATTTAACTACATGTACCTTATACTTAATGTTTGATTTTTTCTTTAAGAAAATATATGCTTACAGTAAACACACAGCCACATCCACCCACACCCCCAAACACACACACACACACACACACACACTCTCTCTCTCTCTCTCTCTCTCTCTCTCTCACACACAAATATATATATATATATATTTATATATATCTTTATTTATTGTAGTTCGCAGTCGGAGCTTTCCGTGCGGGTCTTTATTGTTATCGTTATCGCTACCGCATTTGTATTCCTCTTGTTTGAGTTATTCAAACCTCTGAGCACAACCGATATACCTCCAATAAAAGAGGCTTTTGACGTTAAGAAAAACTACTTGTCCACTGCATCAAACAATGGATGGAAAATATTATGGCACAATATGCCTTCATATTTAGTGAATAGTTTTAATTATGCTAAATCGAAAAAATGTAGGAAACATCCTAATTGTCACCTTTCATCAGATGCAAAAGATCTACAAAGAAGTGACGTTGTAATATTTACACAGTCTTATATGGGTGGTAATCCGCCACCTAAACAGCCTCAGCAGATATTTATTTTCAACTCTATGGAGAGTCCAGCATATATGGGACGACCTTCACCAAAGTGGGATGACAAATTAGACTGGCTAATGTCGTATCGTAGAAACTCAGATATATACAGACCGTATGGAACTTTGCTCAAACGAACCACGCCATTGGTGAAGAACTACACAGAAGTGTTTAAGAAGAAGAAACAATTTGGTGTTTGGATGTCTGGACATTGCCCCGTGCCATCTCGTCGTAGGGATTACATAAAAGAATTGAAGAAGTATATAAAAATCGATATGTTTGGTTCTTGTGGTGATCGGGTTTGTCTCAATAGATCTCCATATATTAGCGAGTGTTTGAGAAACTTTTCTAGGGATTACAAGTTCTATTTTGCATTTGAAAACAATATATGCGAAGACTATACGACAGAAAAATTATACAATTTATTTTTGGGCAATTTTGATGTGATACCTGTCATAAATGGGCCACAAACAGCAAAGGAATATTTACCGAAAGGGTCGTTTATAAGCGCTTTGGATTTTCACTCACCTATGGCTTTGGCAGAAAAACTTAAAGAAATTGCAGCCAGTGAGAAGATTTTTTCGCAATACCTTAGAGAAAAGGACAAATTTTATGAAATTGGTATTAACGAAGTATTTTTAAATTCGATGTGCAAGATATGTGACATTTTGGATAAAACAAATGGAAAACCTGAACGACCGAAAAGAACGATTTGGGAACGCTTCTTTTCTAAAGGAGGATGCTGATTAATTTTGAATGTCATTAATGTTTCTATAGCAAATAAAAGATGACTAAATGGGATACTAGTGACCCTTCATAGGTACAACACCTACAATTATGTAAGATACTGTTTCTTATTTTAGTATAGTGCACCTGCTAGTTACAATGTGGGTGAATTAAAAAAAAATGACCAAATGCATATTTATCAACCCACACTAAAAATACAGGCAATGAAAATAGATTTCTATGTCTCAGCATATGTCTTTAGATAGTGTCTAAATACCTGCCAAATATCTCGTTGATATCTCAATTAACAAAAAAGTTATGCCCAAAAATGATGCTAAAATTGTCAGGAGTGCAACACCTTTTTGTGACATTTTGAAATTTCAATATTTTTTAGAGATCTGTGAAATAAAAAACAATGCTTCATGTTAAAAATAAAGACTTTCCTGATAATATTCAAAGTATTGAGCTTTAAATGTGGACTGTCATAACTTTTGTTTAATAAAGTTGTAGTCATGGCTAATGTTCAAAAAAATGTTATACCATGTCAGGAGTGCAACAGAAAAAATGTAGTGTTGCCAATAAAACATCAATTGTAAAATTCTGATAGAAAATTGAGACAAAATAGAATTTTGGAATTGTAAAATAATAACTGATATACATTTTAAAACTTAAAAATGTTATATAAATCACAAGCAGCATTAATGAGAGTTAAGTATATGTGCATACCCAAAAATGTCAGGAGTGCAACATTTGATGTTTTGCTCCCAAGCATGAAAGAACTATTATCATTAAATGATTTTCTGATTTTTATTTTGGAAAATAGAGACACAAAGAACATTTTTACCAAATAGATTTATCAATTACAGGATCTATCTGTGCTTCAGGTCCATATTTCTATGGTCAGGAGTGCAACACATTTTTTTAAAGATTCAAGTTGTGTGTCGAAAAGACTTCTATTCATGCTTAGAAGTATTCATTAATTAATAATGATCTTTTTGTATAATTTAATGATAAATTATTGATAGTTTTATTAATAAAAATCCTTCCTTTTTCAATTTTATCAATTCAGATGTGTTTTTATCTTTTTTATGATTTTTTTAATGAACGTTAAAAATAAACACACTAAAACATTGTCATTAAATTCAAGTAATTCCTCCTCAACTTCACTGAAACAACAGAAAAAGTTCTTATGTAATTTTCACTTCACAATTCTACTTTAAAGGCCCCAATGCTTTTGGTCAGGAGTGCAACAAATATGTTAGAATTATAAATCATCCAAAAAGAATAAAACAAAAGAAAAAGTGATGAGTAGAATTTTTCTGGTGGGTTACTGTGTTTGTTCTCTAAAGGAAAATATGCTTTAAAATATATTTTATCTTTTAAATATACATTTAAGCTAGTTTTTTGGTATAAAATAGGGTTTTTTATTCCAGATAAAACGCGAATTTTAAATACTTTCATCTGTTTTAATTATGAAGTATTGGACTATAAATATTGCACAATTTCATTATCACTTGATGTTGCCAACACTTTATGAATTTTTGTGTTCTATGGTTTTAATTTTCAATTTTACTGCAGTCAGGAGTGCAACAAAACTGCTTTATAATTACCAATACTTTTTAACTATCTTTACTAAAAAATAAGTTGAAAAAAATGCTTGATACTATTTGATGTTCAAAACAATATGTCTATCAACAAATTACAGAAATTTTACAGTCAATTCAGGGAATAGTTTTCATCATTTCACATATATTTCAAATAAAATTTATTTATATTACACTTTGCAAATAATCATGTTTTAAGGTCTTCAAAATATGAAAAACCTGCTGTAAACGATGAAAAAATCAACACGACAAATTGATTTACAAAGTAAGAATGGGTTATTGTGTGTTATAATTTTTAAAACAATGTTAAATAAAATACATATCAGATGTCAGGAGTGCAACACAATAATGTAACATAGGGTCACTTCAAAATCTAGTATTTTTTGTAAGAGAAGTCGTAAATAACAATTCTTTTTTGGCTTAGATTTAAAGAATTGACTTGAACGGACAAAAAAGTGAATTTTGGGGAATTTTATTGCTTCATATTTTTCTCATATTAAAACTTTTCAAACCAGAATTGAAAAAATAATGTAAAATAACAATCAAAAAGCCAATTTTTTGTCACATGTACAAGAGAAGATACTCATTCAAGGTCTAGATTTAATCATTTATACCCTTTTTACCATTTTGAAGCATAAAAAACTATAATTTCTTGTGATTATGTATTTTAAAAAGTCTTTCAAGGTTTAATGATATTTTCTTTTTTCAAAAGAAATTTTACTAATAAAAATTCTGAAACTTTTTAATCCCATTGTCTATTCTATTGCCACTTAAGGATTTTAAACTAGAATGCGTGTGCAATATGATGATACAAGTGAAAATATGTTATATGTAGTTGAATTTTGCCAAAATAATTCAGTTTGGTGGTCATTTTTTTTAATTCACCCATATACGAAATTTCATAAGAGTAACTTACAATTGTTTATGGTTTTTTTTTTTTTTTTTTTTTTTTTTTTTTTTTTTTTTTTTTTTTTTTTTTTTTGTTTGTTTGGTTTTTTTTTTTTTTTTATTTAGTTCTATGATAAAGGATTTACACTTCACTAATACTTTTATTGTTCAGGTGATTGATGGGTATTTCATTAGGATTTAATATGAAAAGGAACTGTTTCAATTATAAGTTAGTCGTAAGTCAAATATAAAAGTATGATTTAAAAAAAAACAAAAACAAAACAAAACAAACAAACATATTCAAGCATTAGCCAGCTTTACTCAATATATCTATGAGCTACGTGTAGCCTCTTATAAGTTATTTATTTGACTTTTGAGAAAATTGCAGCAATTTGATTAAAGTGTTGATACAGAACCTATTAAGGAGAGGTTGCATAATGATCCGAATTTTTTGCACATACATTAAAAGCATAATTAGATACTTTTTAAAATTGACTTTACACATAAACAAACATACATACACAGCACGGCTGGAAGGTCTACGTACAGAATTTTCGAAATAGATATGAAATACCAAAAATATGAATACATAAAATATACTAAAATAATAATATAGATGACATAAATTTATCTATTTGTTTAGGTTTTCAAATATCTGGTTCCAGTTAATCCATCTTCTTTTATAAACATGAAGTTCACTGTTAATTTTTTTTTTTTTTTTTTTTTTTTTTTTTTTTTTTTTTTTTTTTAATACAATTTTTCTTCAAATTTAAAATACACATACAAGTATTTAACGATATTTTGGATAGTTATATTTTGTTTTTTTCCCCTTGATTGTTGAAAAATGTACTGTTTAATAAGTAGCAAAATAAGATTAATAATTGTGTCTTCTTTAATTGTGTATACATCAAATTTTATTATATTTACAGTTTTTTTTTTTCAAATATCCAATATTCTAAAAGAGACCACAATGGGTTAACTTTAGGACAATAAAAGAAAATATGTACAATTGATTCAACATTTTGCTGACATAAAGAACATAGATTAATTTCTCTCGTTTTAGACTGAAACAAATACTTATTTGTACCAAGAATCCTATGTATGATTCTAAAATTAAACCATAAAAGCCTTGTGTCTTTTGTTATTGAATAATATTTTTTTGAATCAATTTCCAATTAAATTCCTCCTGTAACTGCAGTTCTTTAGCCCATTTTGATTCACACTTTGGTGAAGTACATGTAATGACAAATATGTATTATAGATTGTTTTAGAACCTTTTTTTAATCTTTATCGATGATTTCCATAAATTTTTGCTGATAAGGTCTTGTGAAAGAATTTATGCTAACATTTCTAACATTTGGCCAAGAATGCAAAATTTCCCTTTTCATGCCAGAGACTTTTATAGAAAACTCTTCAACAAGATCATCAAAGCATATAAAATTACCCTTAATATCAAATAAATCACCAACTACAATAAATCCCTTTTCATACAATGGCCTTGAAAAAACGTACTTATTTTGAGTCATAATTTTATTATTATACCACAGAGGTTCCAAGAGAATATCTCCTTGGTTTTAGTTACATTTTTTGATTCCTCGACACCAGAATATAGGCTCGGATCTGTAGTTATGGATATTGCCAGTCATAGGCTTTTTAAACCCCCGCGTTTTACTGAAGAAAATGCAGCTAAAACAATCCGTTTTTTCCTTAAACTTCAATATGCCAACAAAGGAATTGACGCGGTTAATATAAGTAATATCCTTAATCACAAAAGCGTCCAGTCTTGTATTCCACCATATTTCAAGTTAAAGACTACACCTTGTATTTCCTACAAATATACATCGACTATTGCTTCCAAACTTTTTAATTACAAGAAAACTTTACAGGGCCTGGATATTGAATATCTGAAACATAATCCTCCATCGAGTTCATGTTCTTCTTCGCCCTATAACTATAGTCCTGCTGGACACGTTATTACTGGTGACGTAAATATAGTTAATAATGAGGATCTTAGATCACTAATTTTAAAAGGTCCTAAATTTTGGGAACCCAAATCCTTCAACTGGCGTAAGAATTTCATAAATATTATGGATTCTGTAGAGGACTACGCCAGGCGATGGGCTAGACATGAAAAAGAAGACCTTGACACTTTGTCAGAATGGATTAAATGTATCAGATGTATGTTAAAATCGCGCATTAAAAGATTGAGAGGCAATATGAAAACCATCTATCCTTCTGTATTCAATAATCCAGAAGTGAAAAAAGAATTAGATAGATTACATGATCAGTACGTACTGGTCCCTGCTGACAAAGCAGGTAACAACATTGTCTTTGTTTGTAAGGCTCATTATATTAAATGTATTTTAGAGGAACTTGGATTTAATTCTACAATTGGTAATCCAACTTATACTCATAGTTCCCTTTCTAAGGAAGAAATTCTTCAAAATCATATGTCAGTTTTGAATATTTTTAATATTCCAAACAACCAAAATGAATTCGAATTACCATATTTATATTGGATTCCGAAACTTCATAAAAATCCTTACAAACAAAGATACATAGCGGGTTCCAGTAAATGTTCAACAAAGCCTCTATCTTTACTCCTCACTAAGATATTAACAGTGGTGAAGGAGAAACTTCAAGAGTACTGTGCAACAATAAATTCGAGAAGTGGTGTAAATCAAATGTGGATACTTAAAAATTCCAAGGAACTTTTGGAAAATTTGAAATCACAAGATTTTACCAAAATCAACAGCTTTAAAACTTACGACTTTTCAACTTTATACACAACCATTCCCCACGATAAATTAAAGTCAAGGCTTTTTGATATCATTGACAGCTGCTTTATCAATAAAAATGGAACTCGTAAATATGCTTACCTTGTCATTGGTCATTTGCAAAATTATTTTGTTAAAAAAACATTCTGATTGTACACACAAGTACTCTGAAGTTGACATTAAAAAGATGCTTGAGTTTCTGATTGACAATATCTATGTGGTTTTTGGAGACCAGGTCTTCCAACAATCTATTGGAATTTCTATGGGTACCAATTGCGCCCCGTTATTAGCAGACCTTTTTTTTGTATTCGTATGAAGCAGAATTTGTCCAAAATCTTATACGTGAAAAGAAGAAAACACTTGCTGTGGCCTTCAACTCGACATTTAGATATATCGACGACGTATTGTCAATTAACAATGGCTATTTCCATTCTTATGTCGATACGATATATCCTGGTGAACTTGAGATAAAAGATACCACAGAGTCTGACACATCTGTTTCATATTTAGATATTTTACTTGAAAAAGACTTTAATGGTAATCTAACAACCAAGCTTTATGATAAACGTGATGACTTTAACTTTTCAATCGTCAACTTTCTTTACTTATGCAGCAATATACCTTCATCACCTCCATACGGGGTATATATCTCTCAGTTGATTCGATACGCAAGAGCATGCTCTACG